GATGTATTATTTGTTGGACTTTAAGTTAAATAAGTTGGACTTACCTTGGATGTGTATAGGACTTTGGTAGGGTCCTTTGTCCAAGTTTCTGAAGACTGTTGTTGTTGTTTAAGATTCAGCTACTGGGAACCAAAAGTTGCAAGTAGCACGGGATATGGTGAGCCCGTAGTGGACTTACCTGGCACAGGAGCGGGACTGTGATGTTTCTGAAGGATAAACGGAGGTTGTTGGGCCACAACACGCTGCTGGTGGTGTTGTGTTGCTAATGTGTGCTTCTCACATTGTGATTTGGGCTTAAGTCTACTCTCAGGTTTTTCTCCTTTTTATGATAAAAGAATCTTTCCTTTCATCATGTACCCTAGATCTTCTCCCGTGTGTGTGTGTGTGTGTGTGTGTGTGGTGTGTGTGTGGGTGTGTGGGTGTGTGTGTGTGTGTGTGGGTGTGTGTGTGTGTGTGTGTGTGTGTGTGTGTGTGTGTGTGTGTGTGTGTGTGTGTGTAGGTGTGTGTGTGTGGGTGTGTGTGGGTGTGTGTGTGTGTGTGTGTGTGTGTGTGTGTGTGTGTGTAGGTGTGTGTGTGTGGGTGTGTGTAGGTGTGTGTGTGTGTGTGTGTGTGTGTGTGGTGTAGTGTGTGTGTGTGTGTGTGTGTGTGTGTGTGTGTGTGTGTGTGTGTGTGTGTGTGTGGGTGTGTGTGTGTGTGTGTGTGTGTTTACTATTTGTGTCTGCAGAATCGAGGTATTAGCTCTTGGACCCCGCCTTTCTAACCAATCTATTTTTCCCTATTATATCTACTACATATATTCCTGAGTGTGTGTGTGTGTGTGTGTTTACTCACCTAGTTGTGCTTGCGGGGGTTAAGCTCTGGCTCTTTGGTCCCGCCTCTCAACCGTCAATCAACAGGTGTACAGATTCCTGAGCCTACTGGGCTCTATCATATCTACACTTGAAACTGTGTATGGAGTCAGCCTCCACCACATCACTGCCTAATGTGTGTGTGTGTGTGTGTGTGTGTGTGTGTGTGTGTGTGTGTGTGTGTGTGTGTGTGTGTGTGTGTGTGTGTGTGTGTGTGCGCGAGTATTTTGTGGTGAAGGTTGGGTTTAGCGGAAGCCATCAGTGCATGCCGCAGTCTGTGAGGATCGAGTCTGTCCTTTGCGCAGTGCGCCGGCAGCCAGCCCGTCCGCCCGACGCATCCACCACGGTATATATATTCCTCAAGTGCTCCTTCCCATCTCCCGAAGCCCTGCTCCCGCGAGTGATAGACCCACGTGACCGTGACATATTGCGATACATATGGCGACCAACATGTGTATAAACATGTGCATCTAAACACGTGGTTGAGTGCAGTGTGGAGGCGGCGTCACGCCACGGCGCGCGCGAGGAGGTGCTCCGCGCGCATGACGCAACGCCCCATTCTCTGTCGCTAATTTTCGGTGGTCGGATAACTGCCGGTGTCACAGGCCTCCGAGAAGTGAGGTTCCTGCTGGGGTTCTATAGGGCCTGGGAGGCTCCTGCTGGGGTTCTATAGGGTCTGGGAGGCTCGTGCTGGGGTTCTATAGGCCCTGAGAGGCTCGTGCTGGGGTTCTATAGGGTCTGGAAGGCTCGTGCTGGGGTTCTATAGGGTCTGGAAGGCTCGTGCTGGGGTTCTACAGGGTCTGGAAGGTCCTGCTGGGGTTTTATTGGGTCTGGGAGGCTCCTGCTGGGGTTCTATTGGCTCTGAGAGGCTCCTGCTGGGGTTCTGTAAGCCCTGGGAGGCTCCTGCTGGGGTTGTATAGGCCCTGGAAGACCCCTGCTGGGGTAGGAGGCACCAGGAAGCAAGCTGGCATACCCCAGGGTGCCACAGCGATTCTCTCTCCCCCTACCGGAATGACTTAGCGAATCTGGGGCCAGATTCACGAAGGCACTTACGCAAGCATTTACGAACGTGTACAACTTTCCTCAATCTTTGACGGCTTTGGTTACATTTATTATACAGCTTAAAAACATGAAAACTTCCCAATCAACTGTTGTTATTGTTATAAACAGCCTCCTGGTGCTTCGGAGATAATTAACTGTTTAATAATTGTAAACAAAGCCGCCAAAGATTGTGAAAAGATGTACAGGTTCGTAAGTGCTTTCGTGAATCTGGCCCCTGGTTTGTTTTGATTGGTCGCCACGCGGAGGAATATCATTCCCAGGATCAAATAAATAAAGGAGATAACCCTCAGGTGAGTAACTAGAAGACTCCCCCCGAGGCAGGTGTCCGAACACCTGCTGCTCTACTACTACACCTGCACACACACCCCCCCTCGCCCCGCGCGCACACACACTCACACATGTTTGCTGAGGTAACTCTCCAGTTCAGTACCTGGGGTGTGTGTGTGCGTATGTGTTGGCTCGGGCCTCTCTCATCACTAGTGTGTGTGTGTGTGTGTATAGTGATGTGAACCACAAGTCGGGGCTATGCAACACCTTGAACCTCACCTCTGAGGGGCAATTCGCGTCCTGATCGGTTGGGAAATTGGTCTTGGTCGCGGACCAACGCGAGGGAGGGAATGACGCGGTGCTTATTGGGTCGAAAGACGTTGTTGTTATAGATTCAGCTATTCGGAAAAAGTTCCAAGTAGCACGGGCTATGGTGAGCCCGTAGGTCGAAAGACGCCCGATACGCTGTCTTCCTCCCTGGGTGATTCCTCAACGCCTCTCTCTGTGTCTCCTCGTGAGACTTCCAGCCAAACGTTTCTGAAAATGTTGATCAGAAACTACGAGGATGAGCACCTGGTCCTTGTAGACCAGAGTGGTAGTGTCTTTGTAGGTACTCGTAGTATACTCACTTAATTGTGCTTGCAGGGGTTGAGCTCTGGCTCTTTGGTCCCGCCTCTCAACCGTCAATCAACTGATGTACAGATTCCTGAGCCTACTGGGCTCTATCATATCTACATTTGAAACTGTGTATGGAGTCAGCCTCCACCACATCACTGCCTAATGCATTCCATTTTACTAACTACTCTGACGCTGAAAAAGTTCTTTCTAACATCTCTGTGGCTCATTTGGGCGCTCAGTTTCCACCTGTGTCCCCTAGTGCGTATACCCCTTGTGTTAAATAGCCCGTCTTTATCTACCCTGTCAATTCCCTTGAGAATAGGGAATGTGTGTGTGTGTGTGTGCGCGCGTGCGTGTGTGTGTGTGTATATGTGCAAGTGTTTGAATTATGAGTGCGTAACCCGCCAGTTGTTTGAACATTTGTGTGTAGAACATAAATAACAATAAGGTGAACAGCGCCTCATGAACAGGTTTGCGATAGCACACATTTATTACGGTTCCTCATGATTTGACAGCTTATAACAGAGTGCACACACACACACACACACACACACACACACACACACACACACACACACACACACACACACACACACACTCACATGTACACGCACATGGAGTAAATAGGTACCTGGGAGTTAGTCAACTGTCACGGGCTGCTTCCTGGTGTGTGTGTGTGTGTGTGGTGTGAAAAAAAAGTAGTTAGTAAACAGTTGATTGACAGTTGAGAGGCGGACCGAAAGAGCAAAGCTCAACCCCCGCAAACACAACTAGGTGAATACAACTAGGTGAATACACTCTACACGCACTTTAGTGCACATATATGCACTATATTGCACATCCTACGAGTGGTAAATATATCCATGAGACCCAGTGAGTTTGTATCCCTCCCACTCAGAAAATTTGGGATTTGTTCAGAGGTGGAAAGTCGTGTTTTCTTTGAGTACTTTGAGTGAATACTCAAAGAGTACTCACTCTATGAGTTCAAAGAGTGTTCCTCTCTATTGCCTCGTCTTTCTTGTCTATCCATTCCATTTCCATCAGTTTTAACTATTGATATTATGTCAGTGGTCATCTATCATAGTGTCTCTTGACCTATACCTATAATAGGTATAGGTTAAGTAATCATTGTAATTACGAAGCAATAAGATGCTTATCTTAAGATACTAACAAGGTTAGGTAAGGTCGGTGTTTTCTATGAATCTTTTTAAGGGTATCTATTATGTTTAGTATATCACCTATGCACGTAGTTAATAAGTCAATATTGACTTTACGAATTTGCGAGAACGGGTTGCCTCTTCTGCCGCGCCTGTCAATCACGTTCGTGTAATTAATTGATGCTTATGGTGGCGTCATTAGTGGAGTGGGGGGCGGGGGGGGGTTAAGGCCAGACGGGCCTTAACCCTTGGAGACACACAGGGATATCTTGAGGTTATCTTGAGATGATTTCGGGGCTTTAGTGTCCCCGCGGCCCGGTCCTCGACCAGGCCTCCACCCCCCAGGAAGCAGCCCGTGACAGCTGACTAGCACCCAGGTACCTATTTACTGCTAGGTAACAGGGGCATAGGGTGAAAGAAACTCTGCCCATTGTTTCTCGCCGGCGCCTGGGATCGAACCCAGGACCACAGGATCACAAGTCCAGCGTGCTGTCCGCTCGGCCGAGATTATGTATCCCTGTGTGACACACAGGGATTATGTATCCAAATGAACAAATAATTTGTTCATTTGATGCATCAGGCTGTTGTGATTTCTGTGTGTGGGATTATGTTGTGTCTCATCTACTGAATCTACATCTACTGAATCTACATCTACTGAATCTACATCTACTGAATCTACATCTACTGAATCTACATCTACTGAATCTACACCTAATGTTTCTACACCGATTCCCTCTTTTAGTTAGTTATTCTTGGAGAGCCGGTCGGCCGAGCGGACAGCACGCTGGACTTGTGATCCTGTGGTCCCGGGTTCGATCCCGGGCGTCGGCGAGAAACAGTGGGCAGAGTTTCTTTCACCCTATGCTCCTGTTACCTAGCAGTAAAATAGGTACCTGGGTGTTAGTCAGCTGTCACGGGCTGCTTCCTAGGGGTGGAGGCCTGGTCGAGGACCGGGCCGCGGGGACACTAAAGCCCCGAAATCATCTCAAGATAACCTCAAGATTCTAGTATTGAGCTATACCAGAAGAACTTATATAATGTTATATTATAAATATTGGGAGGAGGCCTGGTCGACGACCGGGCCGCGGGGACACTAAGCCCCGGAAGCACCTCAAGGTAACCTCAAGGTAACGTATGTGCATTACTCACTGGTTGAGGTACTTAAAGTGACCACAGAGAAGCACCTGGAGTAGGCAACAGTGATCAGATACCTGATCAACCAGGCTGTGATTCATACGTCAGGCTGCGAGCAGCCGCGTCAAACAGCCTAGTTGACCAGTCCAGCAACGAGGAGGCCTGGTCGACGACCGGGCCGCGGGGACGCTAAGCCCCGGAAATACTCCAAGGTAAGATACCATTTACCAAACGCCTTGTATACCTAGATACTAAAGTAAATCCCCGTCTGAATATCCAACTCCATCCATCACAGTGAGTGAAATCATCAGTTTGATGATCCAAATCAAAAATAACGCGCCTACATAAATGATCGAATACACTAAGAACTATTCAATAGATAATTGCAAGAAATTAAAGTGAAAATAGAGTTACGCTGTATGATAAGATCTTAAAAACATAGTGACTCTCCGGTGAAGAAACCTTGCAACTGATAAGGGGAGCAACATTACTTCTGCCACCTTCGAGACATCACAGAATTCTAGATAAAGTGAGGTCACCCAGACCGGCTGAATTCTTCAAATAATGTATCCCCTGAAGCCCCGTGGTTGGTGGTAGCCCTGCAGCCCCGTGGTTGGTGGTAGTCCTGCAGCCCCGTGGTTGGTGGTAGTGTGGATGGTGTCCCAGTGCTCACAACAAGTCATCAGTCGCCTGTTGATGGTCGAACTCAACTCATCAATCGGATATCAATGCTGTGGTAGTGGAGAGTCAAGTTATCATCAATCGCGGCATCTTGGGTGAGTACCGTGTATGCTGTATGCTGTATTTTAGATCAGTTTTGTATGAAGGTTTTGTGTATACATGTCTTCACAGGCGCTAGAATAACTATGAACAAATCCACCAGGGGCCGTGATGAGGATTCGAACCTGCGTTCGAGAGCATCCCAGACGCTGCCTTAATCTGGGAATAAGTAGTATTCTTAATCTACTTAATAAGTAGAATAACTATCACTTTAAGTCCCAGATAAGAAGGCATTAAAGATACTGACTATTTAATATACCTATACATTTCTCTGGTAGGAAATGTATATGTTTATCTCTCAGAATGTTTGGTAATATGTTTATTGTTTGTGATGTGTGTCTATGTATGTATTAACACGATGTACTGAACGGGGTGAGAATAGCTTGAGCTACCTCATCCCTTTGTGTGTATTTGACCTCAATAAACTTATTTCAATTTCAATTTCTCTGGCACTGTGACAAATCACTGGTGACCAATAGACACAACTTGAGCTTCACTGTCTGCGTCGCCTTCATTCCATATGTCACTGTTTTTTTCATTATTCATTGTCAGTCACCATATTTCACTGTCTCTTATACCTTCTAGTGCTTCAGCTCTTACGTGTCCACACACTTTTGTATCACCTTTTTAAATCAATCATGTCTCTTTATCACCTTTTTCTTTGTTCTTTCTGATATTTCTGTAATTGTCCACTGAAATTGTCCACCATATGCAGGCGAGGAGTCACAATAACGTGGCTGAAGTATGATGACCAGACCACACACTAGAAAGTGAAGGGACGACGACGTTTCGGTCCGTCCTGGATCATTCTCAAGTCGATTCACAATCGACTTGAGAATGGTCCAGGACGGACCGAAACGTCGTCGTCTCTTCAATTTCTAGTGTGTGGTCTGGTCATCATTGTCCACCATCTGGCGTGCACTTGGCTGCTCCACCAGTCTACTCTGCTCAACTCCCGGAAATATTAAAGGATCGACATGAGACACAATCGACTTGAGAATGGTCCAGGGCGGACCGAAACGTCGTCGTCCCTTCACTTTCTAGTGTGTGGTCTGGTCAACTTAATATGAAACACTTCCTTTAACTGAATCACACCAAGGGAGACATCTTCCGTCACGCAGGGTGCAGTCGCACCTCCACAGATCTCCAGTATCAGCTCTTGATACTGGTAATGGCTCAAAAGGGCCACCACTTACGGGCTATTCATGCCCGTGCCACCTTTTGGCTGGTTTAATCTTCATCAATCAATCAATCAACTGCTCAACTTCCCCTCACAGGACATGCTTCAAACTACGGAACATGTTACAGAGGGGAAAGGGAGGGAACTATCAGAGGGGAAAGCATTGTTGTTGTTGTTGTTATAGATTCAGTTACTGGGAACAAAAAAGTTCCAAGTAGCACGGGCTATGGTGAGCCCGTAGTGAACTTATCTGGCTCAGGAGCGGAGCTGTAACTGGGGAAAGCGTCAAGTCATTACGACTATATGCGCTTGTTTCAAGCGCGGGTTGGACAAGTATATGAGTGAGATTGGGTGGTTATAGATAGGAGCTGCCTCGTTTGGGCCAATAGGCCTTCTGCAGTTACCTTTGTTCTTATGTTCTTATATAGCACTGGGTAGGGGTCAGGATAAGGATTTGGGATGAGACGGTGGGGAGGGAATGTCACAGAGCTTTCGGGCTGTGGAGCCCAAAAGCCTCATTCGTCAATTTTAACACCACTAAAAACCACATTTTCTCAAATATAAATTAACATTGATTATGTTGACCAGACCACACACTAGAAATTGAAGGGACGACGACGTTTCGGTCCGTCCTGGACCATTCTCAAGTCGATTGTACTTCAGCCACGTTATTGTGACTCATCGCCTAACATTGATTATAATTTTGTGTACAGTTAATCCTAGGATAGATTAGGTTAGGTGTTTTAGTTCTATTGGGAATTATATTAATTACCATCTCCAAGTCGATGTTGTCTGTAACTATACTTAGAAGAGCACAACAGAACATAGGTACACACAGGAACCTGTACACCAGTTGATTTGACAGTTGAGAGGCGGGACCAAAGAGCCAGAGCTCAACCCCCGCAAGCACAACTAGATGAGTGGAACCACAGGGAGCATCAAACGTTCCCTCCACCCCACTGTTACCAAGTTGCTACTGAAGAACCAGGAACCACAGGGAGCATCAAACGTTCCCTCCACCCCACTGTTACCAAGTTCCTACTGAGGAACCACCCAGCTAACCCAAGGTCACGATGTCTCTTACGGACAACGGCTGTAGCGTTGCATCGATAATGAAGCACTGAAAATGTAGCCACGTATGCAAAACTGCTACGCATCGAGTCGCATACAGATGCCTCCACACACCCCAGAGGACGCCATTCTCGCGTGCTGAATACACCGACGACTGTGTAGTCATGATTGGGTGTACTGGCGCGCCACGATTGGAAGCCGCAAGTGTGGCAGCGTAAATGGAATTATTATACATAAAGAGTTCTAAGCTCAGTTTCATGGAATATAAACACGCAAGATAATGAATATGTTGAGGCTATGCTTGGCAGCTGTGGCATATTCTTTGCAAGAAGCGTGTTCTTACTCTGTCTTATACTGAATATGATATCATGGAAGGTCTTAAAGATATGTATAATGTATAAAATGTATACATTAATGTATACATTTTGTGTATACATCCAATGTATAAAAAGCTTCGATTTCCGACACCTATTCATATGGGTAGTACAAAACGTTAACTAGGGAGTGCGATACTGTGGTTGCCAGGATCAGGTTGGGCTATCGTTACCTGTGGCAGGTGGCTATACCGTTACCTGTGGCAATACCGTTACCTGTGGCAGGTGGCTATACCGTTACCTGTGGCAGGTGGCTATACCGTTACCTGTGGCAGGTGGCTATACCGTTACCTGTGGCAGGTGGCTATACCGTTACCTGTGGCAGGTGGCTATACCGTTACCTGTGGCAGGTGGCTATACCGTTACCTGTGGCAAGGTGGCTATACCGTTACCTGTGGCAGGTGGCTACCGTTACCTGTGAAGAAACAGGTACATAGAAACAAGACACACAAACAGACATAGGGACAAGACATAGAAACAGAGACTTCCTGTTGTGTAAGGGATCACTAAGAGGAAACACTAATATACCGCTAACTATATTTAAAGAATTTTGCACTTCTAAGAAATAATCATTATGTAAACACAATAACAACTTGATATTTTAACATTTTAATATAATAAATAATATGAATCAGCCCTGAATCAGCACTCAATTTACGCAAGAAGCCGAAGGCGTCAGCTTCCTCAGTCGCGCCATAAAAAAGGCGGGAAAGTGGCTAGATGACGTCACATCGCGGCGCCTCTGAGTCGACCGTGACGTCACATCGCGGCGTCTCAGTGTCGACCGTGACGTCACATCGCGGTGTCTTTGTTTCAACCATGACGTCACACCGCGACGCCCCTTGAATCGACCGTGACGTCACACCGCGGTGTCCCTATACGCTGATCGTGACGTCGGAACGCAGCATGTCGACCATCACATCGGAACGCGTTGTCCTGGTGTCGACCGTGACGTCACACCCCAACGCAAGTGTGTCGACCAATACGTCACAAGTTTCCCTCATTTATTCCCAGGAAATACTCCGCCGCCAGATCACGTGATAACGCCGGGGTTTCCCGCCAAAACTTTAGTGCCCGCCAACGGGCTACACGTAAACAAACATTCCTTACCTGGTAACGTCCGTGGACAGGTCAGCGTCTTCCTATACATCTGAAAAGAAATCCAGAGATAGAATAAAGACATGTATACTGAAAAACATACCAAATGTTTGTGTATATTAACATATATACACTGTGAAGCTAATCGTATACTTAATATGAGGCGGGTAACTTAATTACCCTCTTGAATGACGCAATACAGTCCAAGATATGAATTACCTTCAAGTATATACTGACGCAGATGTCATTAACACTTATTTTTTTAATTAACTCCTTCATATAACGTATAATGCCAGTGAAGCTGTTAATTATATTGGCGTTATAATTGTAGTATAGGTATATGGTTATTCCATGCACCTATAATCGTATATAAATATAGATGTATTAAATAATGTATTTTTTAATAAGTTTCCCAATTTAATTTATAGTGAGTGGTATATACACAATCATGTTATAGTGGGTGGTATATAAACCTTTCTGTTATAGTGGGTTGTATATAAACCTTTCTGTTATAGTGGGTTGTATATAAACCTTCCTGTTATAGTGGGTTGTATATAAAGCCTTTTTATTAAAGGGAGTCAATATTGTGAAATATACTTGATCCTACGAAATACAACTTTGAAGGAGTATATACAGGAAGTGGTATGCCCGCTTCTCGTTCCATACACACTAAGAGTTTACTGTAAAGCCGGAAGGGAAGGGAACTATCAGGGGGGAAAGCGCCAAGCCATTACAACTATATAGCACTGGGAAGGGGGTCAGGATAAGGATTTGGGATAGGACGGGGGGAAGGAATGATACCCAACCACTTGTGGACGGTCGGGGATTGAACGCCGACCTGCATGAAGCGAAACTGTCGCTCTACCGTCCGACCCAAGTGGTTGGGACTGCGGTTAGATGTATAGTAATCTTGCAGCTTGGTCACTAAGCTTCTATGGCTGGTTCAATAAGCCTCCCAGCAGTGTTGATCATACAGTGCAAGATATCCATGATAGCCGCTATATGGAAGCCCTTGATCTTGTCCACAAGATCAAGGGGCTGGTGAGCCCTTGAGGTTATCAGGTGATGAATATTCAGTTCTGTGCGTGCGGTGGGGGGGGGGGGGGATGGGTATGTGGTGCATAATAAAGACAGGAATGACAAAATTGGGAGCCGTGGGTACTCGTGCACTCATGACCTGACGAGTGGACCGGGGGGACCGTACGCTCCGCTACGCACTAGATACAACGTCTAACTCGCTACAACGAATACAATATCTGGACGTTTGTGAGCA